AGGTTTTTGCTATAGGGCGCATGCACTCACCAGAAAGACAGAGAAAGACAAAGAGACAGAAAGTGAGAAATCACCCCCCAGGGGGAATGGCCACACCGCAGTCCCTTCTCCTCCATTCTCCTCTCAGGATCTTTGGCATGCACATGTGCCCGGCGTGAGTTTAAGTCACTGGGTCCGGGACTCAAACCACGGTCAACTACGTGGGAGTCCAGCAACAAAGCCATTACGCTAACAACTGGTCCCCAAAATAATCTGACATTCTTGACCAGTGAGCAAATTAACAACAGTTGCCAGAATAGCAAACACATTGTTTTTACGACTTTTCCTAGAGGTTCATACAGAAGCATTTAAGAGACACCTACACAAATATTTACAATAAAGTTTGACTTTTTCCTCCCAAGGCATTTATTTATTCAAATATTGACTTAAAATTTGATTTTTGGTATATTATAAATACTGCAATAGGTTTCTGGTTGTTGAAGGAGTTAATTGTATTTATCACTAGTTATAGAAAAGATTCCTATCCTTAATGCTAAATTCCCTATGGAAGAAAATAATTAGCAAAATAAAATAATGTTTCTCTGAACCTCAAATTAAAATGGAAATATTATTATTATTATTATTTTTTTATCAAAACCACCTTACAGTCCCACACTCCTGAGGGCTTCCAGTTTAAAATGTTACTTACAGTATATACACTATGTATATATTTATCTTCTTTCACAAATCTTAGGCAGGCACAAAGAACTTCTGGAATGCATAATGGCTGGCCTGTGTGGCTAAGTTCGCATCAATCACACACTTTAGCCTAATGATTTTAAATTTGGGTAAGGGGTGGGGTGTCTCTCTTAATCTAAGACAACATTGCCAACTTAAATATGATGGTGCATTTGAAAAAAAAGAATGGTGGTTTTCAAGAGAGACCGGGTATAGACACTACAATCCTATGGCATGGTAAACTTGATGTGGACATCTCAGACTAATGCTTTGTGAGGGGCAGATGAGTCAGTGCCCTGTGCTAAAGGCTGATCCAAGGTCTTCAGAACATGATGAGGTCAATTAAGCTAAGGAACACCCTAGCCTTGGTGCTGCACAGTGCTAAGATGCTGTGGTCTGCTAGCTCAGACCACACAGAAGGCCCAGGTTTGATTCCCAGTCTAACCTAGAAGCCAGGCACCATGGCCTGCACTTGTAATCCCAGGGACTTGGAGGCTGAGGTAGGAGGAGTATGAGCTGGCTCCTGGCCTGAGCAAAATCTCAGGACCCTATCTGAAAGAGCAGAAAGTGGTAGCATCCACCTGTGGTCCAAGATGGAAGCCTGAGGCAGGAAGATCATGATATGGTGAGAGCCCATCTTAAAAACAATGCTAAGAAAGGAAAACTGGGTAGACATTCAGTTGACAGTTTTCTTCTGAGCGTCTGCTTCATACCAGGCACTAAAAGATGCAGAAGATATACAAACAAAGATATTCTAGTCTCTACAGGGACTAAAGGAATTTGCAGTCTCAAGGGAGAAAACAAGTAAACAGATACTTACGGCATATTCTGGAGTGAGACCTTAGCTAACATGGAGAAGAGAAGGGCTCAGAGGAAGGCTTCCTGAAGATGTTTCAGAGGAGAGTAAAGAACAAATAGCAGTAAGGTAAAGAAAGGGGGGGGGGAGGCAGCAGGTGGCATGGAGGTTAAGGTGGCTAGATCCCACATGACTGACTGTGTGTTTTGAATCCTGGACTTGGTGGCTTGAAAATCACACTAGGTACATGTGCATGTATGTGCAAAATCCCAAGAAGAGAATGAAGGAAAAGGGATTGTAGTGTGGCCATCCTCCCTGGGGGTGCTTTCTTACTTTCTCTCTCTCTCTCTTTGTCTCTCTCTGGTGAGTGTACATACTCTATAGCCAAAAAGAAAAAGAAAAAGAAAAAGAAAGAAAGAAAATAGGGAGGATATTATATTGCAGTAAGAGATAAGTATCATGTGCAGAGGTCCAGCATCAGTGAATAAATAAACCACTGGGTACTGGTAGAAACTATTTATGGAGTTGCCTCCCAGAAGGCAGGCACTATGCAAGAAGTCTCAACGTTATTTCATTTAATCGTCACAGCTGTATTTAAGCGGGGTAACTCTGTTTTACAGGTATGAAAACTGAGTTTACAGACTCAGTTAGCTTGCCCTGGGTCACATGGATAACAAGAGACACAGGGATTTGAATTCAGGTACCTCTGAATTTAGAAATAGATCTCTTAGCCACTTGTAAGTACTTTTGATCTTATTTCACATTCAATAAATTTTTCTAATCAGGCACTCTTAAATAAATGACTATTCAAGCCCGTGTAAGTTATATACACATATCTTAATATACTATGCATATATTCTAAAACATGCAAATGTAGAAATTTTAAAAACTAGAGTCGATGATAAACATTTTGAGAAAAGTCTTGTCAGTGACGATAGCTGATTACTATCACCAGATGATATTTTAAGTCCCAGCATATGATTACAACATTTGTTTATAAAACAGATGTAAATCTACAGTTCAAATCTTGATTATTTTAACTTATAGGGGGGTAAGGTTCTGATCTGATTAGATCATTCTTGTTTATAATCATGCAGCTAAGGAAGAACACGTGCTAAGCGTTCAAGAATTATCTTTAGTCCTTGACTTCTTTACAGTGATCTTTCAGCCACTTTCCATCTGTAAAAGTTTAGTTTCGACTCGATGTAACTCATATATCCACCTAACCAAGCTTATGGGAACTGTTGTATGTTGCACAATGCACAAATGAGCATCCTGTCAACCCCTCCCTCTGCAGGATCCCCACTTCTAACTCAGGGTACCCCACATATACAAAATGACATGTGACAGGGTGGCACATAGTGGCTGACAGACAAGGAGTACAAGAAAAGCAGGCAGTGGGACTCTTATTTTCCTTCTTTAGGGAAAGTTTTGTTATAGGGCACATGTGTTTGACAGAGAGACAGAAAGCAAGAAATCTCCCCCTGGGGAGAATGGCCATGCTACAATCCCTTCTCCTCCATTCTCCTTTCAGAATCTTGGGCATGCTTGCACACACGCACACACGTCAGCATGAGTTTTAAGCTGCTGGGTCCAGGACTCAAACCAAGTCAGCTATGTGGGAGTCCAGCAATGTAGCCATTATGCCATATGCTGCTCCTAAGACCATAGTCTGATGGAGCTTCCCCTGCTTGGTGTATTCTTAGGTTTCCATACTGTGAGTTGTAAGAACCGTAGCACTACTCACCATGATGTGAAATCCAATATGAGGTTAGTCTTTCTTGGACCCCATTGAAGGAGTTTAATGACCGCAGTAGAAGGATTAATGTCGTTTTATGTTAAGGTGATGGAATGTCATTACTTCAGGTGCATCCTCCTTGTGATCCTGTAGCACATATGACTAAAGCTTTAAATGTATTTGTTTAAACAGAAAAGCAAAAATATTCTGCCCTGGCATTCATAAGACAGAATCATTTGGAGTACTTCATACCATCAGATAGTAAGATATGATGCTAATATGATGCATTCAAGAACTATTTATTGATGTCTTGCATGTACCAAGCTTGTACAAGGGTTGTAGTTGTGAACGAGGCAGATATGATTGACGAATTCATGGAAAATGCAGTGTTGGTGCATTTTCCAACAGCATAAATGGTAATTAATTCTCTTGTGATACGAGTTTCAAAGGTGAGTACAAACAGCTAAGAAAGCAGAGAGACCTAGTCTAGTCTAAAAGGGCTAGGAAAGCTTTCCTGAAGAAAAGAGGTTTAAACTAGTATGAGAGTGATGGAGGAGAGGAGGGAAGAGCATGCCAATCAGAAGAGATGGGCCTACAGTGGAGATCAGACTGCAGGATGGCCAGCGTGGACCCAAGCGGAGACTAGGGAGGAGAGAGGTGGAAAGGAAGCTGGCTAGACAGAGCAGGGCCTGCAACTCGTTATAGTGTATGGGAAACAGTCCAAGGGTTTTTTGAACCTCTGAGAAATGTCATCAGATTTGCAGTTTCCAAAAGATCATTTTGGCCACAATGTTTAAGATAGGATGGAGGGTGAATGGACAAGTTGAGAGGGGAAAAGATAAACTGAGGGTTTAGTCCCTTCCATTAAATAGCAGAATTGAACCTTACCAATCAGTACAAGGCTAAGCTTGCCAAGAGAAAACTCTGGGCATAGAAAGAAGACAAATGTATTGTTCTTAATAACTTTATTATATTCATTTGTTTACTTTAAAATTTTACTACTTTTTCTTTAATTCTTCTAAGAGAGAGAGGGGTATCCCCTACAATGTCCCCACACCAATATCCGCCTTGTCAGTTGTTCAGATTACAGGCACACCAGTGCACCTGGCATGCTCAAGGAGGTCTTTAGATTTGAATCCAGGACCTTTTCTATGTGGGTCCAGTTGTGCTACCTCTGTGCTACCCTTGCTCCTGTTTATTTTAAAATAAATTTAACTCATAGGAAGAAAGAGCTTTAAATCAATTAATACATTTTTTAAGTTTATTTATTACCAGAGAAAGATAGACAAACACTCTCAACAAGGAATAAAACTCATGCCTTAATTCTCCATCCCTCCACCCTCCGAGCTCTGCAGCCAGCCAGGCTGCAACACAGGCACGTCTGGTGAACAGACGTATGACTTGAACCCAGGCCCATCCTATATGGCCTCTAATACCATGTGGCAATGCCCTATTACCTGAGACACCATGGGCTAACTAATGAATTCTCTGAAAAAGAGTTTACTAATAGCGATTCAAGTTCAGCCTGAAATATGTGTCTTTCTGATTCCTGGGTCACCCCTCTGGAAAGTGTTGTGTGTAGGTTTCTGAGACAACTGGCCCTCTTCCTTCCATGACCATTGCTCTTTTGGATCTTCCTGCTTGTCTCTTGTCTGCTGTTGAAGCAGTGGGTCAGCTGAGGAATGGGGCAAAGCAGGGAAAGGAAGCCAGTGAGAGGGTGATTTTCCCTGAAAGGCTGGTACTTATCTTGATTTTACAGTTCAAAGCTAAAAGTTAATGGTCAATCCTTGTGTGGGATGGACATGGCTTCCAGTTTCTTATCAACTCTAAACCCAAACATGCTTTTATCTACTGTTTACAAAGCAAAGCCCGTAATGCATTCATCACTGCCAATCACTACAGGAAATGCCCATGAGAGGGGGCTGCAGTCCCAACGAGAGGCTTCATTAATGAAGCACACATGTCGAGTGGATCTCTTCGATGACCCTTGCTACATTAATACACAAGCGCTTCAAAGTACACTTAGCTCTGCTCGAAATCAAAGCTCAGCTCAACTGGGGAGCCCATGGCACCATGGAAGTAAGTAGCTATTCCCTGTCTATTTTCATTTCCTAGGGGCGTTGTAACAAACTACATGTTTTAAAACCATGAAAATTTATTCTCTCACAGTCCTGGGGCCAGAAATCAAAAATCAATGTGTCATCAAAAGGATTGGTTCCTTCTGGGACTTTGGAGGAAAATCTGTCCCACGTCTCCCTCTAGCTTTAAATGGCTGCTGCTTGGCGATTCTTGGCATTCTCTGGCTTGTAGACACATCATACCAGTCACTGCATGTTTCGCTTCACCTTCCCCTTGGGTTTCTATATCAAATCTCATTTTTCTCTTTTAAGATAACAGTCACTGGATTTAGGATTAAACGAGATGGTTGGCTGAGATGAGACCATCTCATCTCCACACCTTTGTTTTAATTACATCTGTAGATGTCCTTTTGCCAAATTAGTTCACATTCACAGGTACTAGGGATTAGGACTTGAACATACTTTCAGGGATTGCTCTTTAACTCACTACATTGTCCTTTGTTTGTTTGTTTTTTAAGAGAGATTTTTGTCTTAGAGTACGTGCACTTGCCAGAGAAGCAGAGAGACAGAAAGCGAGAAGTCAACCCCCCCTCCCCACCCCTGTGGGGTTGTGACCATGCCACAGTCCCTTCTCTGACATTCTCTTCTTGGGATTTTGGGCACATATGTACATGCACCTGGTATGAGTTTTAAGTCACTGGGTCTGGGACTCAAACTGTGGTCCACTACGTGGGAGTCCAGCCATGTAACCATTACGCCATCTGTTGGTCCCCACTGTCTATTGTTTTCTTTTCTTTCTTTTTTTGGAGAGGTTTTTGCTATAGGTCGCGTGCGCTCGCCAGACAGACAGAGAGAAACATAAAGACAGAAAGCGAGAAATCACCCCCCAGGGGGGATGGCCACGCTGCAATCCCTTCTCCTCCATTCTCCTCTCGGGATCTTGGGGACGCATGCACACGCGCCCGGCGTGAGTTTTAAGCCACTGGGTCTGGGACGCGAACTGCATTCAACTACATGGGAGTCCAGCAACATAGCCATTACGCTAACTGCTGGTTCCCCCCACTGTCTATTGTTTTAAAGACTATTTCCTTTGCCTCGTTTTTCAGGAAGCTAAAAGTGTCCTTTATTTATTCTTAAAAAATTATTAAATTAAAAAAATGTATTGATTTCCTCCAGGAGAAGGAGAGTCAGAAAGAGAGAGATGGACAGAGAGGCAGCCCCAACAGGATCTTCACACCATGGCCCACCCCCAGCTCCATCTAGCCTGGACCACAGGCATGCACATGTGTACCTGCTGTGCACACAGAGACCCCAGGATGAGAATTTGGGACCTGCCCATGTGCTTCCAGAATTATGGAACTTTTCCTGCTGCACCAACGCTACTGGCCCCAGGATTCTTGCCTTACCTCATTTTCTCACCATAGCTTACATAGATTTGTGGGGATGTTTTGGGTTTCAAGGTTTCAGCACATTGATTTAATTTTTAAATTGTTTATTTATTTATTTATCATTTATTTATTTATTTTGGAGAGTTTGTTTATTTATTTATTTATTTATTTATTTTTCCTGTAGGGCATGTGCACTCTCCAGAAAGACAGAGAGAGACAGAGAGACAGAAAGTAAGAAATCACCCCCTGGGTGGGTGGCCACGCTGCAATCCCTTCTCCTCCATTCTCCTCCTGGGATTTTGGATGCAAGTTTAAGCCACCAGGTCTGGGACTCGAACTGTGGTCGACTACGTGGGAGTCTAGCAACATAGCCATTACGCTATCTGCTGGTCCCTGGCACACTGATTTCAAATAGGTCATTCAAATACTTCAAATTTACTCCCAACTTTTGGTTTCTGTTGTATGCTTTTGCTGAAGGAAGGGTTGTCAAAGCCAGGAGATCATTTTGAGTTTATTTGCAGAAGGAACAATCACCACTTTTCTCTTCTGTTTAGTGATGACATTAATTTTACTCTTTCATAAACTCTTGCTAAGTTATCTATACAGCAATAAAATAAGATGACTTCTTCAACTATACACGATGGGCAAAATACAATTAAAAAAACATCATTTTCCTGCCAAATTGCTTCCAGGAGTAAATGAAAAAAAAAAAAAACAGAAACATAAATAAAAGCAAAACAAGTTGGAAGCTTACAACCAACTGAAAATATAAATAAACAAAAAATGCTTTTTATAAAATATTGAAGTATGTTGGGCTCAGAGATTGGCTTAGTGTCAAATCTGGTTTGCTCCAAAGATGGAGAACCAGTCACTGAGAAGCCCTTTCACTAGCCCAAGAAGTTTCTCCAGAAATGCCAAAGGCATCTTTCTAACTAATATGGCTGCATTGGTAAGACAAAATTTAAAAGGACATTTTTTTGTGTGTGGAGCCTGGGCTTTCCCAGACTGCCTTCACTTGCCAGACTGAGAAACAAAGGTCCTTCTTTTCAGCCAGGTGACAAGTGGTCCATTTCTTTGTAAACATTCTTTTTTTTTTTTTTGAAGAGGTTTTTGCTATAGGGCGCATGCGCTCGCCAGACAGACAGAGAGCGACAGAGAGATAGAAAGCGAGAAATCACCCCCCAGGGGGGATGGCCACGCTGCAATCCCTTCTCCTCCATTCTCCTCTCGGGATCTTGGGCACACACGCACACGCGCCCGGCGTGAGTTTAAGCCCTCAGGTCCGGGACTTGAACCACGGCCAACTACGTAGGAGTCCAGTGACATAGCCATTATGCTAACTGCTGGTCCCTTTGTAAACATTCTAAGATCTTTCATGGAGCCCATCCCAAGCAACTTGAGTTCTCTGGAAGCAGACACTAAGATGCAGGGTCTCTGTGGGGCATGATAGGAGGAAGCAAGGGTGAGGTGGTAAGGGTGGGCAAAGGGGGAGGTGAAACTGCTTATCTACCTATCACCTCTCTGTCTTTCTATCTCTTTTTTTAAAAAAATAAAGTGATGATAACTTCCTTGTATGCTTTCTTACTTCATTCTTCCATCTTTTGAAATTTGTCTATATTTGTATGGGATCTCCTTCATCACTTTCAGTTGCTCTATAATGTTTTATTGATAAGTGTCTCATAGTTTGTATCACTAGTCCCGACTGATGGAGATCTCAATTCTTCCCAGTCTTTTGCTAATAACCAATACTATAAAAGAACCTTTTACTTGTGCCATCTTTACAGCTCGTGTTGGTTTATGTAAATGTTTCATCCTTCCCTTCCTTTCTCATTGGGATTTTTTGCAATTATTTAATCCAGATTTTGCATGTTAAGATTTTTTTTTGTCTTCCTTAAACTGTATTCTCCTTTCAGAGGTTTTTTTTTTTTTGGGGGGGGGTAGAGGTTTTTGCTATAGGGCGCGTGCGCTTGCCAGACAGACAGAGAGGGACAGACAGACAGAAAGCGAGAAATCACCCCCCAGGGGGGATGGCCACGCCGCAATCCCTTCTCCTCCATTCTCCTCTCAGGATCTTGGGCACGCATGCACACGTGCCCGGCGTGAGTTTAAGCCACCGGGTCCGGAACATGACCCGCGGTCGGCTACTTGGGAGTCCAGCGACATAGCCATTACACTAACTGCTGGTCCCTCCTTTCAGAGGTTTTTCACATTGGGTAGATAGGGGTGTGGATATACATACTTATCCTGTGCTTTCCTGAAGTTCTGATTGTGAACGATATGTCATTAATTGCTAATAGGAACTCTAAAATGGCATGATCATTTTTTTCCATGATTCCTATCCCTTTTTTGGTCTTAATTAAACTTAGTAATGGCTTTCATGTTGATTCCTTAACCTTCAAAACTTCTGAGAAAATATGATTATGTCAGGTCAATAATGTATTAAATGCTGTATAGAAATTATGTATAAGTAACTATATTTAGATTATGGTTAAAATTCTCAAAGTCAACTTTACATAAGAAACGGAGCAATATAATGGATAAGGATGGTTGTGTTAAGGTCCGGTCACAGTGGCATGACAGGAGTATGATAGTTTGCAATGCTGGAAGCCATGCGGAAGATCAAGGTTCAGTTCCTGGGTTGATTCGTACATGTTAGGTTCATGTGTACATGCCCGTGATCCTGGCTGATGGGAGGGTAGAGAAGGGGATCATGGTGTGAGCCCTTGTTGAAGATGCCTGTCTCTTTCTCGAAAGACATAGATAAATAAACCTCAAAAATTACAGTGGTTGCATCTATTGATGGGACCACATGTGGGTGGTTTTTGTTTTGTTTTGTTTTTCTGTTTCCAGATTTTAAAAAATTAGCATGTGTAACTTTTTAAATTAAAGAAAAATTTGAAAGTTTTAAAAAATATATATTCTGCTCTTTGCAGAATTTGATTTTCAGCAAATGTTGGATAATTGAAATCTTCCAGCACAATGTATCTTGTCCTTGTGCTAATTTGGGAAACTGTGTTAGGAAAACATTGTGCCTATCTTCTGGCTGGCCCATGATCTGTCTCTTTTCAAGATGATATAATGTCTGTTTTCTTTTGTTTTGTCCTTGTCCAAAACCTCTTAACCATAATCTCAGAATAAACCCAAAGCCATCATGCACTAAGATGCATGTATCACCCCTACCAACACACACACATGCACACACCCTCTCCATATTCACACTAATACTTTCTCACACACACACAAACACATGCACAGCTACTCATGAAAAGTTCTCCATGGTGCTTGAAAACAGGCAGCACTGAGGCCAACTGCAAGCATTATTCATCAAATCTGGACACATTTTGTCAGGCTTTTTCTGGCAGCAATAGAAAGACTTGATTTGTAAAGGAGAATTTTGCTGGCCGTTAGATTTAAGCTGAAGATATTGTTTAAAAGATCGGTTTGTTAATGTTGCATCACAATTATGTTATGCAGAAAGAAGTTCATACATAGGGACAACACTACAACGCATTAATAAGAGAATTTGATTATGTCTACGGGGTGGTTGCCTATATCAATGACTTCATAGGATAGTCATGTATTAATTGGAAGACTCAGAGTAAAGTGAACTTGTCATTTGTGAAGCCCTTGCATAAGGACATTTAAACACTCTTTTGCATTAATAAAGATAAAGGCTGGTTTCTGTGCAAAAGCTTCTTTGCATTTAAACAGACAAACTCTGGTTCTATGAAAGTCAAATGCTGCATGTCCTTGGTCAATATAAATGGAATGTCTGGGCTCTCTGGCAGAAACGGAAAGATTCTAAGACACAGAAGTAGAGAGGGTGACAGCAGAGACTGCATGGGAGGAAGGGGTTGGGGAGGATAGACGTGGACCAGGAGAAGGGTGTTTAACAGACACAGGAATGCAGGTAGACGGGGCTAATGGGTTGTGGAATGGCATACCATAACTGAATCCAAAAAACAGACACTGCCAATCTCATAAAAGTAACAGTACACAATAATGTGGTGTTCCTTGTTGAAATCAGTGAATATGGTATTATCCTTGATTTGATTATCATACATTGTATGCATGCTTTGAAAAATCCATATTATACCCCACAAAGAAAAAGACAAAGTCTAGTTTTTAGGACTATTTTCCTGGTAAATTGACATATTAAATATACAACTTTTTTTTTTTTTAAAGGTTTTTGCTGTAGGGGGTGTGTGCTTGCCAGAAAGACAGAGAGAGACAGAGAGAAAGTGAGAAATCACTCCCCCAAGGGAGCATGGCCTCGCTGCAATTCCTTCTCTTCCATTCTCCTCTGGGGATCTTGGGCATGCACGCACATGCACCTCATGTGAGTTTAAGCCACCGGGTCAAGGACTGAAACCGCGTGAGAGTCAGTGACAGCCACTACGCCAACTGCTGGTTCCAAATATACAACTTTTTAACATGGATTCAGATATAAGAATTTTATGTATTACTTCTGGAGATGCTGTATAGTTCTGACCTTCTTGCTATCTTCCAGAGGACCTTTGTGGGTACTGCAGAAATCAAGTGGCTAGACCAGTTTTGAAAATTGAAAGATTTTCAGACAAGGCAAGGGTTTAGATTTTGGTGATTAAGAACCTGGGCTTTAGAGTCAGATAGACCTCATTTCAAATCTCAGATTTGCAGGGGGTATCTCAGATCTGTAGGGGATAGGGGTGAGAAATCGTCCCCCTACTGGGGATGGCCATTGCCTCAGTCCCTGAGGATTTGGGGCGCACGCGCACACCACACACACACATACACACACACACACACACACACACACACACACACACACACACACACGGTGTGATTTTCAAGCTGCTAGGTCCAGGACATGAACCGCTGTCTGCCATGTGGTAGTCCAGCACCTTAACCACCACACCATCTGCTGGTCCCCACTTAACATTTCTTAAAGATACATTTCCTTTCCTGTCTAGTTCTGGGAACTAAACATCATTATGTATATAAAGCATTTAGCAGTGCCTGTCATACTCAATAAATGGGAACTACAAGTATCGATAGCATTATTAAGTGTTCACTGACTGTATCTTCTCATCCCCAGTTGCTCTTAATCAGCAGAGCCTTGGAGAGCTGCCTCAGGCCATGCCTCCCTGATGTTTTGCTTTCTTCTTCCTCAGTGACCCTAATTTTGTCCAAGCCAGTGAATGATACAAACAACAGGATAGTCATTTAATAGGAATGCTATGAGGTTTAGCAAAGCTTTGAAGTTTTTGGTTAGAAGAATGTCAAGAAGCATTTTAATGATTTGGTTTAAAAAAACACAAAAACTAAATGCTAAAATATGGACAGAGCCCAAAGTTACTGTGGCTATTTTCAAAGAGTTTGGAAATGTAGAACTATCTGTAATCCATATACAGCTTGAACCTCTTTCTCTTTAACCTGTAACCCCTGAAACTTGAAGAGTCTCTCTTTGCTATTATAAAAGCAGTTCTCATGGGTCAGTTCCATTTCTCTTCTGAAAAGAAAACTCTTGCACCTGAGCAAGCTTTTCCAGGTAACAGAAGCCAAAGGCAATGTTTGGATCTACCATTAAACTAGAGCCTGTTGGGAGTTCCGGAAACAAAAATTTCATTTGTCCTCAAACACTGTTATTTGAACCGGGCCTGGCACACAGTAGGCCTTCATATTTTATTTGCTGAGTGAATAAATCAAAGTGTGGATGAGGACTAACTTGGCGATGTCTCTGTGTTCTGACTTCAGAGGCACCAGAAACCGTTCAGCCAGGTGCCACAGCCCAGCCTGCCAGCTCACATTCCATACCACACATCAAGCAGCAGCTGTGGAGTGAGGAATGCTACCACGGCAAGCTGAGCAGGAAGGCGGCAGAGAGCCTCTTGGTAAAGGATGGGGACTTTTTGGTTCGAGAGAGTGCAACATCCCCTGGCCAGTACGTGCTGAGTGGACTCCAGGGAGGCCAGGCAAAACATCTTCTTCTGGTGGATCCCGAAGGCAAGGTATCATTGACTTCTCACTGTAGGTTTTACAGAGTGCTTTTTCCTAAGGATACTCTGAATAATATCCAAAGCTTGGTATTGAATAGTGTTCAAAGCTAAGCATGTACTATTTCCTGAATCTTCCAGCTGGAGGAGGCAATGCTAAATAGGCACTATTTAGGGGTCTGAGTAGGAGGCCACCCTGGCATATGAAATAGAGGACAGCCTTTTTCTGCCCTTCTCAATTCAGTTCAGTTGACTTCTCGATTCAGCAAACTCAATGAGTGTCTATGACATAGAAGCAAAGGGATTCATGGTTGACTGACGTTGAGTATCACATAAGTCATCCTTGCTCTTTGGATGCTTATAATTTCATAAAATAGGTGTTTAAGTAATTGTAAGACTGAATGAGGTAAGAATGGTTCAACCAATGCATTATGATGTTTCTCAGGATAAAGAGGGCATTCTGGTTGAGAAAAAGTGAGAAGGATTTTTTGTAGGGTCTGACATGTAAGGTGAAACTTGAAAGAGGGCACAGTTTTAAAAGGGGTGCATTGGGAGTAGAGGGAAGGAACCACAGAGGCAGACAGAGCGATAAGCGATGTTAAGCCAAGAGAAGATGTATGGCAGGAGCAGAGGATACCTGTAGACAGAAAATGATCCTGAAAAAAGAAGTTGGAACCAACACATGGGTTGGGAAAATAGGCTAAATGTCTAATTTGCCAAACAGTGGTAGGCATTGGCTGTTTTGGAGGGGAGAAATGATGTAATAAAAGCCTATGTGAACAGTGATATAAGCAAGATGGCAGAAGAGGAAGTCCCAGCTCCTGTTCTCCCCCAGAAACACCGATTTAATAAATTTCTGTAGCCCAAAATACCTTTATGAGAATTCCAAAATCAAGTTAAGGATTTGTAGTATCCCAGGTAAGCACAAAGCTGAGAATAGCCTTGTTGAAATGGGTAAGAAGAGAGCAGGGTCACTGTATCAGTCCCTTCCTGCACCCAGTGGGGGTCAGTGCCAGAAGAGGACTCCAACTCACAGCTTCTCCCTTGGGAAGGTGGGGAAGAGAAGGGTGGAACATGCATGCAAAATGTATGAGGAACTTCTACAACTCAATAGAAAAAAAAATCCTATTTTAAAATGGACAAAGAACTTGAATAGACATTTCTCCAAAGAAGACATATAAAATGACCCACAGGTATATGAAAAAGTGCTTAACAGTGTTTATCATTATGGAAATGCAGATTAAAAGCACAGGGAGATACCATCTTCTATTATTAAAACAAAAACAAAACAGAAAATATCAAGTGTTTTTACAAGGATGTAGAGAAATTGGAGCACTTGTGCACTCTTGGAATGTAAATCGTGCAGCTGCTATGCAAAACTGTTTCAAAAAATTAAAAAATAAAACTACCATATGGACCTAACAACTTTACTTCTGGGTAATTATCTGAAAGAATTAAAATCAAGATCTCAAAGAGATATTTGTAGTCCTATGTCCATTACAGCATTATTCACAATAGCTTTTGAATTTTTTGAGTAACCTCCAAATTGTTTTTATTTATTTTTAAATAAGGGCCATCCTTACAGCAGATGGTATCTCCCTGTGCTTTTAATCTATATTTTCTTAATAATTAATGATGTTAAGCCCCTTTCCATATATGTATTTGTACATATACATATGTATATGACTGGATAAAAAAATCTATACACACACACACACACACACACATTATCCGACCATAAAAATAAAGGAGATATCCTGTCATATGCTACAATGTTCTCAAGGACCTTCAAAGCATTCTGATGGGTAAAAGAAGTCACTTCAGATGGGTGATTCCATTTACATGAGCTATCTAAAGTAGTCCAATTTATAGAAACAGAAAGTAGAATGTGGCTGCCAGAGGCTACAGGGAGGGGCAAGTGGTGAGTTGCTGTTTAATGGGTATAGAGTTTCAGTCACGCGAGATAAAACACTTCTATTTTTTTTCTTTTTTCTTTTTTTTTTTTTGGAGAGGTTTTTGCTATAGGGCACGTGCACTTGCTAGACAGACAGAGAGAGACAGAGAGACAGAAAGCGAGAAATCACCCTCTAGGGGGGATAGCCATGCCGCAATCCCTTCTCCTCCATTCTCCTCTCGGGATCTTGGGCACGCATGCACACACGCCCGGCGTGAGTTTTAAGCCACCGGGTCCGGGACGCGAACCGCGGTCGACTACATGGGAGTCCAGCGACATAGCCATTACGCTAACTGCTGGTCCCAATAAAACACTTCTAGACATCTGCTGTATAACTTTGTGCTTATAGTTAACAATACTGAAGGTAGATATGTTTTATTATTATGATTATCTTTTTTTTTTTTTTAATTTGACCAGCGAGAGAGAGAAAGGGGAAGGGAGAAAGTGAGTAGCCAGGTCTGAGAAATGAACTATGGTTGGCTATGTGGGAATCCAGCATCTTTATCTTCCATGCCTCCTGCCACTATTTTTTTTTTTAAGAGAGGTTTTTGTTGTTGTTGTTTGTTTGTTTGTTTTGCTACAGGGTGTGTGTGCTCACTGAAGAGACATAGAGAGACAGAAAGTGAGAAATCACCCCCCAGGGAGGATGGTCATGCCATCCCTTCTACATTCTCCTCTCAGGATTTTGGGCACATGTGCACACATGCCTGGTGTGAGTTTTAAGCCACTGGGTCTGTGACTTGAACTACGGTTGACTACATGGGAGTCCAGCAACATAACCATTATGCCATCTGCTGGGCCCAACATGCGGTTATTACCACAATGTTAAAAAAGGCCTGTATGTGTGAGGTCACAGCTGCAAATGTCTGCAGGCCAGGCCAGTGCTGTAAGTGAGTAAAGCTGGGTAGGTGGTGACATGAGCTTAGGGTGCAGTGGTCTGTGTTGGACCCAAAAGTGCACATCCTATGCAAAGGGCACAGTCACCACTCAGTTCCAGCTAACTGCCATCACGCAGAGTAGAGAGGCCCATGGTGGCACATTAGATTTTTCCAAAGAAGTCGCAAAAACAGTTTTATACAAACCATCTCCATTTTTCCTTAAAAGTATTTAAAATACTTTGACGATGACCCTCCACCCCCCACCTCCACTCTACTTCCTAGCAAACCAAACCATCTGGTATATTTGGCCAGAGTGAGTGGCTCGTTTACAATTTCCATACTAGGAAGACTGATTTGACATCTGTGTGCAGGATCAGTTAGCAGGGGAAAGACTAGAGCCAGAGAAAGTAATTAGGAGCTTCTAAGTAAAAAAGTAATAAAAGCCTGAATGAGAATGCAAACAGGAGAAATACTGAGGGGCAGAGTGACTTAGAATTAAGAACTGGCAGGGCTGATCAGTTGATTTGAGGTCTAATAGGAATGGGGTAGAGGAGATGAAAACTTCTTCAAGGTTTGAAACCTGAGAGTAAGTTGGAGCCATTGTGTCTTTTTTATCTGAATCCTTGAATGTGTATTTACTAAGAATAGGGAAATTCTCCTACATAGCCATAGTACTGTGGTCAAAATCAGAAATTAGGGGATAAGCAGATAGCTTGATAGTTAAATAATTGACTGCGGTTCTAGTCTGGGACCCAGCAACAAAACCCACACTGGGCATGTGTGCGTGCCAAGAGGAGAATAGAGAAGAAGGGATTGCGATGTGGCCATCCCCCTGGGGGATCATTTCTCGCTTTCTATCTCTCTGGCGAGTGCATATGCCCTGTAGCAAAAATCTTTCTCAAAACAAAAATAATCAGAAATTAAGCATTGATACAATCTCATAATCTAATTCATAGTCCATGTTCAAATTCTGTCAATGATTCTAATAAGTGTTTTTTAGTATGCCAAAATCCGACATCTAGACAAAACTCAGTGCCCTGTAGGAAAGCTAGCAGAATCTCATAGCAAGGTGATCCCTGACAGCTTGCCATCATGCCCCTTGCTGGGTCCCAGTCAACTTCCAGACAGGAACACAAGTATAACCAGGCTGCTGAGCTGGTGGAACCGTGATGGATAGTAATGCACTTCTTCTTCTTCTTTTTCCTTCTTCCTTCTTCCTTCTTCTTTCTTCTTCCTCCTCCTCCTTTTTCCTTTTTCCTTCTTCCTTCTTCCTTCTCCTTTTTCTTCTTCTTCTTTTCTAAGAGTGTGCATGGTCTTACCAGAGAGAGGGAGGGAGGGAGGAAGAGAGGAAGAGAGAAAAAGAGAGAGAAAAGAAAGCAGTAACCCGTGTGGGAAATGTTTACACCACAATCCCTTCTCCTCTATTTCTCCCTCCTTACCAGATTTTGGGTGTGCACATACATATGCCTGGCTTGTTTCTTAAGCTACTGGGTCTGAGGCTCAAACCAAGCAGTGAGCCACGTGTGGCACCTAGCAATGGAGCTGGCCCATATATCTTCTGTCCAAACATAGGATAAGGATACAGTAACACTAGGGAGGTAATTCTACAGAAGAAGGCATGGGGTAGGAACATTGAATTCCTTCAGCATGATGGCAGTAAGTTCCATCCAACGTATTTATGAATCACTGTTACAAAGTCTGGGGGAAAGAGACATGAGTGTCTGTTAGAAAGGTCTGAGGTAGCTTCTTGGAGGCGGCAGGATTTGTGTTGTGCCTCCAAGAAGAGAGAGGACTTCTCCAGAAGGACCTGCTTTCTACAGAGACAGGGTAAAATGGAAGCGCTCTGCTCGAAGGAAGATAATTATAATCTTCGACCTCATGCTTGTATACAAACTAATTAAATATTTGTAGAAATAGTGATGGACTATATCAAATGATAACTTTACAAAGAAGATGACTGCAAATTTGATTGGACAGTGCTTACTATTTTTCTAACCCATTGATATGGTTGCTTTAAAAAAATAATGGGAGTGGGAAGGCAGGTCATGGTATGGTGTTCTACGGGCTGGATTGCACAGGGCCAACTGTGTGGCTTGAGTCCCAGACCCTTCAGATTTGAGAAATACGCTGGGTGCATGTGCATGCATACTCAAAGTCCCAAAAGATGGACAAGATAGAGGACAAGGGATTGCAGTGTAATAGTTTCTCATGGGGTGTGCCTTCTCTTTCTATGTCTCTGTCAGGTTAAGCACATTTGCCCTCTGGCCAAAAAGAAAAAAAAGAAAAGAAAATAATTTTCTAGGGATACAGAACTTCCCCCTCAAAAAAATATTTACTTTAGAGTTATTCAGTCCCCCACCCCCATTTGTTTACATCTAATATTATTTAACCTAAATATATTTGTACTTTTTTTTTAAAGGTGAGGACCAAAGATCATGTCTTTGATAATGTTGGCCATCTTATTAGATACCATATGGATAACAGTTTGCCCATCATCTCTTCTGGAAGTGAAGTGAGCCTTATACAACCAGTGAAAAAAGATAATAATCCAGGACTTTTGCATTCCAACAAATGACAGTTTTGAAGCGCCATCACGCTGATATTTCAAGAAACTGCATTTTGTGTTAAAACAAAAGACAATCCAAACTTTGTTTCTAGACAAGACAGAGCACAAACTGTGAAGTGCATCTTTCTGAAACCATCATGGACTAAATCTTTTATAAAACAAAGAACTAACAAGAAACTGATCTTCAGAAAATGAAAGTTGGAAAAAAGAAAGAGGATTGATTCATATGAAAAGAAATTATACATATGCACGGATGTCACTTTTTAAGGTCATTTTGCATTGATAACAAGCTAAAAGCACAATTAAAATTTCACATGATAAAGACAATTGGAAAGAACTGCTGGGGCAGTGGTATGTGCCTTTCAACTTGATAATTTGGGGACATTTTAATATTGGGGAGATTAGTTCTAAGTAATTCATGTTCTATAACTACAGAACCATTTGCCAAAAAGTAGGTTTTTTCTTGCTACAAAAAATAAAAAAGCAATTTGCTCAATAGTTATGGACTCTATTACATTTTCTCTTCAGCAACATTTTCCACTGCAATGTTAAAATTAATATGACATTGAATTCGGGCTATGTCTATGTCAGTGAAATAAAAGCAGAAACCATGGAAAACATTGGTCTTTTTCATTGGTCTGTCCCATTTTCTAGTTAAAGAGTTGGGGCCCAAATTCTTTAGCTTAGTATTTCTCTCTCTGCCATTTGGACAGTTTGCATACAGCATGTGACAAGCTAAAGAGGCCGAATCTATCAGTCATTTCTGATGTCATCATTTTCCCTCACTCAAAAACCATGGAATAATTTCCTCGTTAGCTGCCACTCAGTTATAGTCTCTCATATCCATGTATGCTTAGCACCTTTTCTATATATGTTCAGACAAAATGCAGAAGAGAAGAAACTTATTGAATATAGCTAGTGGAAAGGTTTGCCATATGTGGGCCATTGGTATATTGATAGTGTAATTAAGCATTGTGTACAGAATAGCACTAGGCTTGGGCATATCAATGTGACATTGAATAAGTCGTTGAACCTGTCTTGATTCAGTTTCTTGGTCTGTAAAATGAGGGAGTTAGGCTAGATGTATGTAGTGGTCTACTTCAGTCCGAACATAGTATAAGTCAATAAAAAGCAAGATGTTCATTTCTTAGGATCAATATTGATAATCAGTCTACATAGTTAAGGTAAAAAATTCAGTTTTTTTCTCTTTAGACTGTCTCTGCACTCAGAGAATGAATGATACCACTATGATCAGATTCACATAGTTTAGACCCTAAGCTTTCTAGTTTAAAACATTGAAACTTTTGGAATAACAGATATAATGATGATAGAAACAGATATGGTTTCTGAGTAGCAGAAAATTGCTTCAGTCCTTTTTTGCCTTTGTACATGGAAATATGATCATTACAGTGTTTTTATTTTTGTTTCCCATCCTCGGTTAACTGGATAATTGCCTTAACTCTATTTCATTTTGGCTATGTAGATACAACCTAATCTTTGTGACTGTGATATATTTGCTAAATTTTAAATAAAATATGAGAATCTTCTTTTGGCTAGAGATTATTGGAAACTAAGCACACTGCACTGAACTATAATATTTTTATGAAAAGGCTTATAATTTAGTTTCTACTGCCACTGATTTCTTAGATTGGTTTGTCTTCTTTTATACAACTAGGTAATAATGTATTTTTCATCAGTTTTCCATACATCTTGGTTTTTGGTCTTTTGTCCTCATAAAGTGGATCAGCAAGGGTATAGACAACCGAAATGTATAGCTAACCACCTGTATATCTAACCACCTTTATCAGACAGAGCAGGGTTGTGTTCTCACACTGGCTGAGCAGAGTGTTAACTGGATATCATGGAAGAGTTCTTGATACAAATAGAGGCAGATAGAATAAATGGTGTGAGCAGTACACATGGCTAATCAGCATTTGACTGGAATGGCATAGCAGTTCGATAAGCAAATGCTGCACTTACAAATACCACAGACACAGCTAAAACAAAACAAAATGAGAAATATCTACATGTTATTTCAACCTCACATTCTTTTTCTGTCCTAAAGTGGAAATCCATTTGCCTATACATACCTGTAAATGACTTCAAAAAATAATAAATCATTATTGCTTTGTGACAATTGAGAGAATATGTCTGGTGTTTGGATTTGGAAAATTTATCACTTGTAGGACATATCGGCATCATGGCAGGTAACAGATGGCTCACTCAAATTGGGTAATTCTAGGAGAGTGTTAATAAAGGGACCTTTACAAAGGCGTGAGCAGAGTCCTGGGAAACCACAAGGGAGAATGTGGTGCCTTAGGGCCAGTGAAAGGGAAAAAAGAGGGAGCAGTTACAAAATGTGCAAGGGTTGTGTGCAAGGGTTGCTTTTTGGAGCTATGGCCTATAGTGGAAGGATGCAGCCACCCCTGGCAATGCAACAGAGTTGGCTATAGGCATTGATAACCTTTTTTTTTTTTTTAAATCATTTATTTAATTTTATTTATTATTCTTTTTCAATTTGCTACAGGGCACATGCACTCAAAAGAGAGAGGGAGCGCATGAGAAAGCAAGCTTCCAGGTCTGGGACTTGAACTGCCGCTGGTCTTGTGGGAGTCTAGTGCCCTTAACCACCACACCACCACTTGCTGGCCCAAAAACCTGACATTTTTATGCTCTCTCTTCAGTCTGCTGGGACTCAGAGAGCAAGGGAGCTCATTGATGAAGTTCTGAAAGTCAGCTTCCTGAGCACACAGAAGAATGGAAAAAAAGCAAGGAATGCATATGAAAGGGTAAATGGACCATCCAAAACAGAGGACTTGGAGGTAGTCAAGCTTCTAAAAGCATCAAAGAGGGTTTGATTAGCCAGTAAAGTGGAGCTAATTTTTAGAAGAATAAGTATCAGATTTTCAGATTACCTTATATGAATTATAGCAACAATGTCAACTTTTCATTATCAAAAGCCAAATAAGTTCTATTTGAGGTGTTAGTTATTTTGCTTGAGAACAACTTCACATACATTTCAGTCTTACAGAGATACTTCTAATCCTTGGCCTTCATGTTTCTTGCAAGTCACTCATTTTGCCGTTTTCTTACTTGTAATTACGTATGAAGAAATAGTGAACCTGACCTGCAACATTTTATGATTGGAGTTCTAAGTCCATGTAGATTACAATATGAGATAATTTCTTGCTATGTCAAATACATATGTGAAACATATCATCTGCACCAGTGGAAAACATTTAAATGTTCATGTTAAAAATTGTTATCTTAGGGACTGACACATGGTGTAATGTTTACGTTGCTGGACTCCCCTGAAGTTGATCGCAGTTCGAGTCCTGGACCCAGTGGCTTAAAACTCACACCAGGTACGTGCCCAAAATCCCAAGAGGAGAATTGAGGAGAAGGGATTGCAGTGTGGTCATCCCCCTTGGGGGTGATTTTTTGCTTTCTGTCTCTCCAGTGAGTGCTCGCACCCTATAGCAGAAATCTTTCTCTAAAAAAAAAAAGTTATTTTAATCTTTTTGAGTTCATATCTTTTTCAAAGTTAAAAAAGGCTCTATTCTTAGTTGACATGCTTTTCCTTTCTCTAGCTAGATTGCCTATAGTTTTCCATGTTTTACTAAGGGAGCAAATAGCCTTATTAGTATGGGAATGAAAGAAATATCATTACATACCCTACAAACATCAAAGGAATAATAAAGGAACGCTACAAGTAATTCTGCATCCATAAATTGGATAATTTAGATGAGATAGACCAATTCCTCAAATAACACAAACTATTGGCCTTGCAGCTGTGGTACACACAGATAGTGGATGGTCCTCCTGTCTGATCCTGGAGCCAATGGGAAAGCCTGGGCTTCAGATCTCAGGTTAACCTGAACATGCCAGGTATGCTCATGATTCTGGCTGGCTAGAAGGCTGGGGAGAGGATTGTGATGTGTCAGGGCCTTGTCAAGAGTCTCACTCTCTCTTGTGAAGGAAAAAAAAAAAACTTAAAGAAAAGTACAAATTAGCACAATTCACCCAAAATAAAATTAATTATTTGAATAGCCTTTTAACTATTAAGAAAAGTTAAATTTACAATAAAAAACCTTCTCACTACCCCAAATTCTAGGCTTAGATGCTTTCACTGAACTCTGTCAATCATTTAAAGAACTAACATCAATGCTATGCAATAACTTCCAGAACATTAGAAAAGAAAGAAAACATTTCCAATTCAATTTTTGTTTGTTTGTTTGTTTGTTTAAGACAGCTTCTCACTATATCAGGACCCTCCTGCCTTAGACTTCTAGCTAAGACTATAGGTGCGTACCACCACATCTAGCTCTTTCTCAGACAAGATTTTGTTCTACTGGTCAACCACAAACTCTCAGTCTTCCGGTTTTAGTCTCCTCAGATTGCTGGGATTATAGACACTTGTCACCACACCTGACCTTTAGATTGAACTGGGAGTCGAACCTGGGTCTCCCATGTGGTTTTAGCTAACAGAGCGCAGCATCTTAGCAGTGAATAGCATGGTTGAGCCTTCAGTTTATTTTTTGGTGCTAACATCATTACTCTGATATCAAAACTAAAGACAGGGAAAGCAGATGGCACAGTGGTTATGTTGCTGGACTCCCACATGGCTGACCGTGGTTCGAGTTCCGGACCTGATGGCTTAAAACTCATGTTGGGTGCATGTGCATGACTGCTGAAGGTCCCAGGAGGAGAATGGAGGAGAAGGGATTGCGGCATGGCCATGTCCTCTGGGGGATGATTTTTCACTTTCCCTCTCACTGTCTCTGTCTGTCTCTGGCAAGCTAATGTGCCCTAAGGCAAAAAAAAAAAAAACAACCTCTACTAAAAAACAACAAACAGGGACCAGCAGTTAGTGTAATGGCTATGTCACTGAATTCCCATCTAGTCAACCGCAGTTTGAGTCCCGGACCCAGTGACTTAAACTCACGCCGGGCGCATGTGTGTGTGTGTGCCCAAGATCAAGAGAGGAGAATGGAGGAGAAGGGATTGCAGCATGGCCATCCCCCTGGGGGGTGATTTCTTGCTTTCTGTCTCTCTGTCTCTCTGGCAAGCACATGCACCCTGTAGCAAAAACCTCTCAAAAAAAAAAAAAAAAAAAAAACCAGAAAACAAACAAACAGACAAAGACAGATGAAAAAAGACAACAACGAATCAATTTTGAATATAGATACAAAAATCCTTAACAAAATGTTACCGGGTAGTATTCACCATTGCATAAAAATAATCATACACTAAGACTAAGAAGTTTGTTCTAGGAATGCAAAGATGGTTCGGTGTTTGAAAACCTAATTATTGTGACCCATCATATTAACCAAAGGAAGTAAAATCACATGATCACATCAACTGATGCATTAAAAGCATTTGAAAATTCAATATGTATGATTAAAAAGAAAATAATCCTCTCCAAAAAAGTAGGGATATATAAAGAGCATCTATAAAAAAAACCTACAGCTGACATTATACACCACAGTGATGGCCTGAATTCTTTCTCCCTAAAATTAGAAACAAGGCAAGGGTGTCTGTTATCCTTAATCTTGGTGAACACATTACCGAAAGTTGTAACCAGTGCAGTAAGACGAGGAAAGGAAATGAAAGACATATAGATCAGAAAGGAAGAAATAAAACTCTCCCTACTTGCAGATGACATGATTGTCCATGTATAAAATCTCAAAGAATCTATAAATAAAAATACTCAAAAAATTCAACAAACTAAGTGAGTTTAGTAAAGTTTAGAGGATACAAAATAAACAGATTGTTGTATTTCTTTCTTTCTCTGTTTTTTCTTTTGCTATAGGGCACATGCACTTGTCAGGGAGACAGACAAGAGAACGAGAAGGAAAGTGAGAACTACCCCCTCAGAGGGTTGGCTGTATTGCAATCTTCTCTCCTCTACTCTCATCTCAGGATTTTGGGCATCATGCACGTGTGTCCAGCATGATTTTCAAGCTGTGTGTTCGGGACTCAATCTGTGTAGTCGACTATGTAGGATCCAACACCTTAACCTCTGCTGTCTGCTGGCTCTTGGATTGATTTGTATTTCTATATACTAGCACTGAACACATAGACACCAAAATTTGAAATGCAATATCATTTATATTTGCTAAAAAAGGGAAAAAAATACATGAAAGTCAGCAAAATATCTACTGAAGCTATCCAAAAAAAAAAAATAAATATGCTGATGAAAAAAATCAGAGAACATCTAAATAAATGAAAAAAATGTACCATGCTCCTGATATAGAAGATTCAACATAGTAAAGATGTCAGTTCTCCCAAAATTAATATACAGAGTTAAAGTAAATCATAGCACAATTTCAGCACGACTTTTTTGTAGACAAAAACAGGATTATTTATTTATATTAAGGTTTTTTTTTTTTTTTCACTAGAGTGCATGTGCTTACTGAAGAGAGACAGAGAGAGACAGCAAAAGGGTAAGTGAGAAATTACCCCCCATGGGGTATGGCTGGACCATAATCCCTTCTCCTGCATTTCCTCCTGGGATTCTGGGCATGCACACACACACATGCTCAGCATGATTTTCAAGCTGCCAAGTCCAGGACTTGAACCTTGGTCTGCTTTTTGGGAGTCCAGTGCCTTAACCACTACATCAAGATTATTCTAAAATTTATGTGGAAAAGCAAAGGAACTGGACTAGCTGAAACAATTATGAAAAAGAATGAAGTAAGAGAAATCAGTTTGTCTGATTTATAGATCTATTATGTAGTTTCAGTATTGGTGGAGGAACATATAGATCAGTGGAACAGAATAGAGAACTGAGAAACAGAACCACCCAAATATGTCCAACTGGCTGTTGATAAAGATTAAAGATGCAGAAGCAACGCAATGGACAGAGGGCAGTTGGCAGAGAACAAAACATCCGTAAGCAAAGCAATACACCTCACACCTCACACAAATACTAACTCAAATGAATTGTAGACCTAAATGTAAGATGTATACATACTATAAAATGTTTTTAAAAATTGCAGGAGATAGAGCTAGACAAACAGTTTTTAGAATGGACATGATCTACGAAAGGAAAAACTGGTACATTGAACTTCTTCAAAATTACAAAGTTTGCTTTGTGAGGGACTCTGTTAAGAAGAAGGATGGGGCCAGAGAGTGGTGCAGTAGCAAAATACAATGCTCTGTGAATCAATCCCACATGAGAAAGTTCCCAGTTCAAGTCCAGAGTCTTTCCTGAGTAGTCCAGGAACATGATCTGGGGCTGGCTGGACACTGGGGGTAGACTGCCATCTTGTTGGAGTACCTCTCTCTCTCTTCCTCTTACTCATGAAATATATAAACAAGCTTTTAAAAAGGGGTCAAAATGGTAAGCTTAAAAAAAAGATGAGGGACAAGGTAGAGGCTAGAAGAAAATACTGGCAAACCACGTATCTGACACGCAGTATCTTGAATACAAACAATGCTCAAAACTCAACAGTAAAAAAAGAAAATACATTCAACATTATTGGCCAGTTGAGAAATGCAAATTAAAACCACAGTGAGATATCATTCCGTACCTATCATTACATACCAGAATGGACACAATGAAAATTAAAACACCAAATGCTGGATAGGAGAGATGAAAGTAGAACACACGTGCTTTCATGTGGGAATGTAAACTAGTTCAAACACTCTAGAAGACGGGCAGTTTATTAAAAAGTTAAGCATGCAATTAACATTCAACCTAGAAATCGTGCTCTTGAGAATTGATTACAGAGAAATGAAAACTTATGTTCTCACAAAACTTGTAAAGGAATGTTCCTCGTAACCAAAAATGGGGAAACTCAGACATCCTTCCACAGGATGTTAATGGTGAAAGTGTGCTATATCCATACCATAGAATATTTCTGTAACAAAAATACCATTAACTGGATGGCTTATAAACAACAGAAATGTTTTTCTCATAGTTCTGGAGACTGAAATGTTCAAGATCAAGTCATCAGCAGATTGGTGTCTGTTGAGAGTCTATTGAAGGCATCTTTTTGCTGTGTTCTCAATTGGTGGAAGGGCCAAGGCAGCTCTCTGGGCCTCTTGCATAAAGATGCTAATCTAATCACCTTGCAAATGTCCCACCTCCTAATATCACATTAGTGAATATGTTTCAGCATATGAATTATGGGGGGACAGAAACATTCAGATCAGATTCCAATCTGATCTCCATTTCTATCATTTTATCATTATGAACATGCTTAATAAATGTAGTGAGTCTGCTGGCATTTTGTTATAGCAGCTCCAGTGGACTAAGATGGGTTTAGAGAGATGGAGGGGGGAGAGGAGGAGAAGCGGGCACAATTATATAAGGGCGACATGAGGGATTACTCCGGAGATGGAATTATTTCGTATCGTGCCTGTATCAGTGTAAGTTTTGTCAAGAGTCATTTAACATGTGTTTAAAATATATATGAATTTTGTAATCTTGTTTTGATACTTTCTTTTTTAATTTACTGAGTGTTTCAAAAAAAATGCAGAATGGTTTGTATATCTCTTGACATTTGGGAACATCTCTAGTCTATGTCAAAATCTAATTCTTGCAACTTTGAACTTTCATCACATGGTCAACATCACTTCTGATAGCTTTTACTGGTTTTTGGATGCAAAATCTTTTGTGGTTGAAAATCCTAAACACTGAATTGAGGCAATTTGCTCGCGTGCTCTTTTGACAGAGGCCTTGAAGAGGCAAAAGATTTCTTGACAACCCCCCTTTTTTATTTGGTGAGGGGAAAGAAGAATTGTGACAATAAGAAGCAGGAGAGTAACAATAGAAATTGTTTATTTACGGTTCTTGCCGGAAGTGGAAAGCGGCTCATTACAGTCCCGAGCTGGCACATTATGGCTGACATGCAAAATCTGGTAGAAAGATTGGAGAGGGCAGTGGACCGCCTGGAGGCAGTATCCCATACCTCTGACATGCACCGATGGTATGGAGACAGCTCTTCGAAAGCAGGAGCAGCGCCGTATGTGCAAGCTTTTGACTCGCTGCTTGCTGTGGTCCTGTGACAGAGTACTTGAAGATCAGTAAAGAAATTGGGGGAGACGTGCAGAAACACGCGGAGATGGTCCACACGGGTCTGAAGTTGGAGCGAGCTCTCTTGGTTACAGCCTCTCAGTGCCAGCAGCCAGCAGGCAATAAGATTTCCGCTTTGTTGGCTCCTATCTCAGAGCAGATCCAAGAAGTGATAACCTTCGGGGAAAAGAACAGAGGCAGCAAGTTGTTCAATCCCCTGTGTCAGCTGTTAGTGAAAGCATCCAGGCCCTGGGTGGGGTGGCTATGGATCCCAAGCCTGGCCCCTATGTGAAAGAAATGAATGATGCAGCCATGTTTTACACGAACCGAGTCCTCAAAGAGTACAAAGATGTAGATAAGAAGCATGTGGACTGGGTCAAAGCTTACTTGAGTATATGGACAGAGCTTCAGGCTTACATTAAGGAGTTCCATACTACCGGGCTCGCCTGGAGCAAAACGGGGCCTGTGGCCAAAGAACTGAGCGGATTGCCATCTGGACCTTCTGCTGGATCTGGTCCTCCTCCCCCTCCACCAGGCCCACCGCCCCCGCTGGTCCCCACCAGATCGGGCTGGGCTCCGATTGTTTCCCACTCAGCACTGTTTGCCCAGATCAATCAGGGCGAGAGCATCACACATGCCCTGAAACATGTATCCGATGACATGACAACTCACCAGAACCCTGCTCTGAAGGCTCAGAGCGGTCCCGTACACAGTGGCCCCAAACCATTCTCCGCACCTAAGCCCCAAACCAGCCCGTCCTCCAAACCAGCCACCAAGAAGGAACCAGCCAGCCTTGAACTGGAGAGCAAGAAGTGGAGAGTGGAAAATCAGGAGAACGCTTCCAACCTGGTGATTGATGACACAGAGCTGAAACAAGTGGCTTACATAGACAAATGTGTCAATACGACCCTGCAAATCAAGGGCAAAATTAACTCTATTACAGTAGATAACTGTAAGAAGCTTGGTCTGGTATTCGATGATGTTGTGGGCATTGTGGAGATAATCAGTAGTAAGGATGTCAAAGTTCAGGTAATGGGTAAAGTGCCAACTATTTCCATCAACAAAACAGATGGCTGCTACGCTTATCTGAGCAAGAACTCTCTGGACTGTGAGATAGTCAGTGCCAAATCTTCTGAGATGAACATCCTCATTCCCACAGAAGGCGGCGACTTT